TACAGTTTAAACAATAGCGTTTTAAAAACAATGCTTTTTTTAAGATTCCAGAATTCACATACATCTGAAAATCTGCTTTTGCATTCTTGTTCCAACTGCCAATAAGGGAAGAAACAAAATCGATAAAGATACTAACTACAACGCATGCCCAGTGGTGAATGCTGATGTTCCTTGATTAACTTTTGTTATCAGGAAAACATTAAAGGCTGGTTGATAAAGCACCATCTCGAAGATTATCATTCCAAATTCGGTGAGAAATTTAAGCATCTATGGCAACTTCAAAAGTTGAAAAACGAGCCCAAAAAGGATTTCAAGGAATCCGCAAGGAAAAATTTTGGAATCGAAAAACCGGGCCATTTTAAAAGGCTGGTTAAGGCTGTTTGCAGTTTACAGGTGAAAGGTAAGCAAAGCTTAAATCATTGCAACGTAGTACTCTTCTAATATTCTGCATGATGCAGTTGTTTGCCAGGACCTTTTCATTATCCTTGTTTGACGTAGCGATGGTATTAGAGTTGCACTTGTGATGATTCATAGGAAAATATATTCGTGCTTCGTAAGCATTGTGCTTATTAACTGATTAAATAATTAGTTCAACAACCTACCACCACCCATTTGGGAAAGGTATTGTTATTTCGGAGATTTCTTTGTCTGAAATGTTTGCAAGCCGACCAGCAGCGGTCAATCTAAGGTTGCATTCCTTTGAAATGATCCAGCTCAGGTTTCTTTATCAGAGAACACTCGGATCATGATGCACAGAAAAACGTTGTTCGATTGCGTAGTATCAATAAACATATCAATAATCAGCGTAAACTTTTAGCGTGCGTGAGAGCGGAGTGCAAAGTTTCAGAACGGAAATATCATGGCCGCTGAGTGTAGCGCAGTTGTTTTTCGTGAATAGAAAAAATTACCCATGATTGAACGACAGTTAAAGCGAGCAGTCCCAAGAAGGCTGCAGCAACTGAGCGGATAGAACCAGCCGTTTCTGAAAAAGACCACAAATTACTGTTTGAGGAGAAATTACGAACGAGAGAGAATTGCCAGACTCATAAAGTATGAATGTTTGGAGGGACAACTTCCCTAACATTCTTCCGTTCTCATTCGGCGTCCGCATGCAGCCTTGCCTCAGCTGTACTGATGTCATCATTTGTTACTCTTTTTTTAATTATCACTATTTCTTCTTGCTGATTCGTAGCGAGGGCTAACTGTAATTTGCACAATGAAACAAAAAGAATCGTCGTTTGCGAGCTGAATTCAAAGTCTGTAATTTACGAGAAACCTTTGCTTATTTTAATTACCACGACTGTTTCATTTAGTTACCGACGAGAGCAACTTTGCTCTTGGCCCCGTTCTCGAGCCTTAATTTCGACACTAGATCTTAGACTCGTGAGAACTTGGAAACGGCTATTACACCCAGTTTTGATCATCACATATGGCAAGGTTTTGGTAATTTGGTGTGTACAAACCACTTCTTCACCTTTTCTGATAAATTTCCATCAACATAATACTGGTAGAAACAGGGCTAAGAAGTTTGTGGCAACAACTGTAACGTCCAAATTTATTTCGACGCCGTTTTTTTCTTTTAGTCTAAGCTGCCTCCCCACGTTACGTTATGGTTCAATCAATATTTTGCTTACTTCGTCCGCTCTCGTCCAAGTAGACTGATTTGTAATAACCCAGTATTCTTGTTTCATTTTCAGGACACGTACAGATGACAATCCTCAGCACGGAGCATACACTGAATAGTGTTCTGCCTGTCAAGCGTGATAGCAAGGACTATCCTGAAGACGAAATAACCTTCTGGAAAGAATTACTTGAAGAAGGATTTCTTTCTCCGCATAACACAGCTTTAGCGTTCACGTCTTCTCCCGAAGAAAACCTCCGGAAGCTTAGAACAACAGCGCTGTGGGTATTCAGTGTCAGCAACATGTTTTGGATGGTACTTATACTGACGCTGGTAGAAAAGAGAGACCTCAAGATTTTAGGGCTCGATGTCATCGCACTTAGCTTCCTAATCACCTATGGGGGGATAATCTTTGCCCAGTTTTTAGCCCTTTTGTGCCATCGTGTGAAAACAATAATGCATATTTTGGCACGCACGCCATGGATTTTGCCTATAAAGAACGAGACAGAAAAAAATGAAAGAATGAATGAAAAAAGCGTTTTGCAAAGCAGAAAACATAGGAAATTGCATCCTTTTTCCTATGCTTAAGTTCTTGTATTGTTGGTCAGTTATTCAACTCGTCCAATTTCTTTTAATTATTATTATTTCATTCTCTTAAGACCCTGTTAACATCTGTCTAAATTATTGTCAGTTTAGAGACATAAATTTCCTTTAATTTGGTTTAATTCTAGATTGTTAAGGAAAATGTCGAAAAGTTTTTAATTTACTTTCAAATTCAAAAACGCGTGAACTCTTTGATTTGATTCTGACAGGTGAATACTGTATCGACCAATCATGATACAGATCAGGAAACGCCAACACAAATCAAAACCATTACTTCAGTATTTACTGCTGTTGTTTGCGGTTTTGATCTGTAACGCATTATTGGCTATTTCCTCGTAACATAGCATCATTCAGAGATAATTTTTGAGTTCAAAGACTTACTGTAAGTCTCTGAGTTTTTTCTTGATATCTAATCACTGCAAAAAGTGAACACGAACATAGAGTTTTTGTTAGTAGCGTTGATATTAGTATAAGCACCCACAATGTAATAAGTGTGATTCGTTTTCCCAGTCATCCTATTTTGCTATTTTCTCTGTCAGTGTATTGATTATCTGAACAACAGCAAAGAAAATTATCTTTGTGCCAGAATTTCGTAATTAAAAAATAGTTCTAGAGAGATTAATGACCAATGATTGGCCAAAATCCTGACTTTGAAAATAATTTATCGGCCGTGAACTTGGCTGTGCTAATGTCGTATGCCACCTCATCTTTTGAACCGACTTCTCGAGTCTTGCATATTTTCCAGCAAGGGATTTTTTCCGTTTAAGATGTAGCAAGAGTAGTTATCTACTTTTTTCGTATCGCTGATAAAAATATGAAATTCAACGTAGAAACTGTGGAACTTTTGCTAAGGTCAGCAAAGTGTAAGTGCTTCGCTTACCAGTTGTTATTCAACTAGCCGTATACATTCGTTGTTTGATCATTAATTAGTGTCATACTGTAACCGTCACTTATCCTGGTCTTTTCTTTAGTTGTCTTCAATACCTGCGTCGTTTTGAATGTGATCAATCTGAAAAGCGCAATTCTTTAGTAATCAATCGTTCTCACTCAGTTGGAATGTATTAGATAATCCATAACATTAATTATCTAATCCTTTAGCGTTGTAGTTCAGGCTTAAATAGGACTACATCGTAAAGCTTTTGTTGAAAACACCAGGGACACATTAAGGCTACATCTGGCTGCATATTGGTTACATGACTGTATTAAAAATAACGTTGAAGCCAAGTCTTTGTGGACCATACTGTCTCAAAGATATTCAACAGCCCTAATAGATTCTGACCTTCGCGCAAACAGCGAGTGGCTGTTCCTCCAGTAAGAGCCTTTGCAAAGAGTACATTACTGAGTTTTTCCTCTGTCCTCTCATTTATATGAGAAGGCAAAACTTGTTTTCACAAAGAGCATCTAATCCTAAAAATCCGTACAAAGATGTTATTTTTCTTCTTCCAGCGAAATGACTGTCAATCGTATAGTCCAATTGTTCGGTTGAGATTAGTCCTAACAATTTTTTTCTTTCTTTCGGATGTTGCTAGCGCCCATTGGTTCACGCTTTTTCTATTCGAGGCAAGAAAATCTCATGAATTTTTATTTCCATCGCCAGAACTTGTATGATGTTTGCCAGAAGTTAAAGAGTGTCGAAAAATTGAGTTATAAATAGTTGAAAGTGATGATCTATAGCTATTCAGTGATACTCATTGTTCTCTGGAAATTTACTCCCCGTGATTTTACATGTCTTTCCCTGGTACAGCGCAAATTAGTATTCTCAGCTTCAGAACCAACTCGTTTCCACCCCAAGTCCCTACTGCTGTTCCTGGTCCCCCCCATTTTGCTCTATCTTACAAATTGCACGCATGTCAATTTTCAATACACTTCGGCTATTTTATTTCACACATTTTACGCAAGAGATTATATGTAAGTACCTCGCGTCAAAAAGCGCATAGAATTTTGTACAAACCCTCTGAAACAAGTGAATAAGCGAACGATAGGGAGTCGCAAAAATTAAAAAGAAAACAACAACAACAAAAACAAAAAAATCATCAACAGCAACAACAACTAAAGGGGGATTAATGAAAAAATATAAATCATTTTTTTCTAATACTTGTGTGAACAAATGGCCGGCAAAAAACAGTTTAAGTGCTAAGTGGATTTCACAAAACCTTTTTAAATTCAATGAATTGAAAATCAAACAAATCCTAAATTAAAAGAGGTGCGAAATTTTTGAGAGGAGGATCAGCAAATAATTTATCTTAATCACCGCAAGCGCACTGCCGGCTAAAGGAGATTACGGAAAAGAGCCTACATTTGTAAAATAGTTCAGGAACGCAGCCCAGCTAATCGTTCGGCGGTCAGAATCTGGTAAAAATAAAGCGAAAAAAGCCATTGTGCATAAATAGTTAATGATTCAACAATTCACATGAAATACATGAATTTTAGCTGGTAAAAAAGTGTCCTACAGGGACCACAACAAAAATAAACCTAAAATAGATTTTTAAAAAAAGCTCGGCTGTTACCTTATGTTAGGTGAAACATCACTACACATTTCGCTTTGACGGGAGACCGATACCAGTTTCTGTTTTGTATCATTGTCGATTTTCTCTACGAATCTTAATAAAAGTGTAATTAAATTTCTCATATTTCATTCGAAATCACAAGCTGGGTCATGCATCATTCTAATTGGCAAAATTTATTTCTCAGCATGAAATCTATGCAAGAAGGGCTGGTAGAATATTATATTACAAGGTATCAATTTATCGTCCTGACTTCAGCTTTGATGGTTATGGGAGAGTTTTAATGTACTCACACAATATTTTCGCAAGAAAGAGGCTATGTACTAGTTTTGCCGTGAAACACGTGCCTTTTGGAGAGCGGAGAGATCTTGTTTACAATAGAAATCGCGAATATTAAATTCAGCGAACTGTTTGCTGCCACAAACGAGGTGAGCCGCTTCAATCACCCACCTTTCGCAGTTCAAAACAGAAGCAATGAAATTATTATTGCCAGCAGCTTTAGCAGTCCTTGCAATCCTGCGAGAAGGTACGTCAGAGGTTAAAGTTATTCATCAATAACGCCATGAACGTTTTATGTTGTACGAACTACTTTGAAGACAGTAATATTTACCATTTCCTCCTCGGTTAAGGAAAAACTTTACATCTACCTATCTCTTAATTATAAATATTTACCCTTTTAAAAGAAAATTCAAGAGGTTATCTTTTTGTGGTTCGTGAAGCGTAATAGGCTGGCTTGGAAATAGCTAGGATTCTGCTCATTTCTATCAAGGCTTTTCCCGGAAATCATCTGAATCGCGTGATTCTTAATTGTTTCATTTCACGATTTCGATTATCTTTAGTTAGTGGAAATAAGGATGGCACTGAATGCGAACAAAGGACAGAAGATGGCAAATGTTGCGTGTTTCCATTCACATTTATGGGTGAAAAGATGCATTTTTGTATCAGTGGGGGACCCTCCGAAGATGACTGGTGTGCGACTACAGATGACTTTGACCGGGACGGAGAATGGGGTCGCTGCACGGGTAACTAACTTCACTTTTAACTAAGCAGGGATGAATGTGGAAAAGCAGCCATGATAGTAACACTGTTAGAAATATTAATTAGAAAAGTTCCTATTGGCGTCAAACCTCCTTTTCATCGTAACATGTGGAAATGTAATCGAGTTCCAAGTGGTAATGTAATCAATTTGCTGTCGAGGTTCGCGTTCCATCAAATTGCACATAGTTTGAAATGCTTTTTATTTTCAAACGCTTTTTCATACAATGAACCTTCTCCTCTTCAGTGGAATCGCTTTTTCAAGCTCTATAAAAACCCCAGGAATATTACTTTTTTAAACTTTGTAAACACATATTCGCCAAATGCTTTAAAACGCAAATTAAAAAAGTTATTGGTTAAGGACAGCTCCCGTTTAGAAACTTAAAGTTTGTATTTTTTACCATTTCTCCCCTTGGAGATAGAGAGTGTATCAACAACTAGGTATCTTAACTTTACCTTCTCGATATGTTATGATGATCAAATGATTATTATTTTTTTTTTTTACAAATATATAGGAGTAAAATGTTACATTTGCTCCAGTGATGTCTCCTGGTCGGACTGTGAAAACCAGCAGCAAGCCCACAACTGTCCGTATATGCACGATCAGTGTCTGACACTCAGCAAGGAGGCAGGAGTCACTAACACAAGCTTGCTCTTCCTAAAGAGATGCACATCTAACACTCAATGTACAGCGTATAATCCAACTTGCGATCGTCCCGATGTTCTAAAGTGCGACTTCAGCTGCTGCATGGGAGATTTTTGTAACGCTGCCTCGCTGCCTTATTCGGCGGTTGGTAGTTTTGTTCATATGGCTGCGTGGATTTTTTACATGTATGGCTGATTGTCTGTGGTTATATGGCGTCAAATTCATGACTGTTAGGGTTGAAAAACAATTCCACTAGTCCCTTCTTTATCGCATCTAAGTTTGAAAATTTAGAATCATATTTAGCGCCGGAAAAAAACTACCTCCAGATTGAAGGTTGCCAACTATTGGTTTAATAAGATAGAAAAACAAGAGAGGTAACACAAAGATGGACCGAAGAGGACTGAGGATGGAGAAGATTAAAACGGATTGCAACTGATGAAATTGAAAGACTAAGGCTGACCTCTTCAAGTTACATTAATCATGATGTAAATTTACACGTAGCTTCAAATTGCCATATAATGTTGTGTGTTCGAGAGAATTGAATCAAGGACAATAATTCTCAACATGGTAAGAACTGTTTAATTGAGGTGGACCATCTCAATTTCTCATTAACTGGCCATACATTTTAGGCCACTGGTGTCTCCAAATTCTTTCCTGCCAAATACAATTATGCAGCAGGAGAATTACTGTTTTTTTTTAGCTAATTAAGAAATTGACAATCTTAAATCTTTGTACATAAATTTTCATTGAGAAATCATGGACGAGATGGTAATATTCTATCACTACAGTTGTAAATGAAAGGTGTCATCTCCCTCCTCTAACGACAACAGGCTCAGGATCATGAACGAAGCTTGCGTCCATTCTACCTCTATCATCTGTTATACAAAAAATAACAACATAAATGTCATTATTTAAATCAGGGCGACAATAATTTTTTTTGATGAACACTTGAAATTGAGCAGTGGATATCTATTAAGTAAGTTCATGAATAAAGTTACCAGGGGTGAAGGCAACTGAATTTCTTCCTCAATGAATAACATCCTTACTGATTTTGAGGATGACATCTTTGGCCAAGATATCAGGTAATGCAGTTAAACTGCAACTACTATTGATAAAATATCAAGGCTTATTTGACAACAACTCCTGAAATGCAGGTGTGACTAAACCAAAATGATGCCACTTCACATGACTTGAAGATTGTAGTGTTCCATACAAGGAAATTTCACTTTTTTAAAAAAGAGAAATCGTATTCTTTACCTCTACCTCCCAAAAGACCTGAGCCTTCTGCATTTCTTCTTGATCGCTGATCTATTCAAAATAATGAAATTAAAAGCAAAACAGTGACATAAAAAGACCATATGTTAATACAAGAGGCAAATGCATAGTTTCATTTGGCTCAATGCCTTGAAAGAAAAATTGGCAAAGATGTTCAAGTACTCAAGATTCTGTTTTGAGAATATTGAGAAACTGGTGGTTTTAACTTGGACAAAACGGTTATCAGTGGCAATTTGCCCCTTCATCTCCTATTTATCTTTTCACTTTCTGTTGAGTTAAGTTTCCTTCTTGGTCTCATCTGTTCTGTTCCAAGCTCAGCTGCATTCACTATTTGATGACCATTCCCTCCCTAGCTTCTTTTTTGTGCACCCTTCAGTCTCATTACAACTTATAAACTTCTTTTTTTGGTATTCATGTAAAAAGGTAAGCATCACAGATCAACATCTTCCTATATCAAGACTTTACTAGGGAAATGTTGTCTTGCAGCACTCTTTTTATGTTCATGTAATTAAGACACAATCGCAGTTTTTGAAAAACCTTGAGCTTCCAGGGTGTTTTTCCCTTCAAATGTGGGAAGAGTATGGAGAGCATCCTGGGAAAAATTGTTTACCTTGAAAAAGCCTCTATATTTTTCCACAGTGTACAAGTAGTTAGACTTTTGTTTGAATTTACTGATAAATTTCCAAATTTTGATCTTACAAACAAACCTCTTGTATGAGATCTCAACATGGGCTCTTGTCTTGCACCTGTAAATTGTCTCCCTCCATTATGGCTTCCTTGAAGAAAATGAGCTAAAATCCCATACAAGAGTGGCCTAAGAGTAAACATGTATTTATCAGCTGTGCATCTTCATGATGATCATTAAATCGGATTAGAACAATCAAAAGAATTTTTAAGGTTCCCAAATCAAAAGAATCTCTGTAAGGTATAGTACTCCTGCTTCTGTTAATACACAGATGAGGTCAATCCTTTAAAATGCATTTAAATAACATGGATGTATGACTCACTGATTAGGAACAGTAAACATAATTATATTTATTGTATATGTTGTGGTTCAATTTTATCCTTGGTTCGAGTTATGTTTTCTTTTGTTTTTGGGTATTGTAATATATGAAAATGAGTTTGTTAAAAAGGAAAAAAAATTTGAACCAAGGATAAAATAGAATCACAACATATACATTCATCATGTGGTAAATGATCAAACAATCATGTTAAATTCTGTAATCCTTTACCTAATTGCAGCTGTCTTAAAAGGATCATTTCTTTGCTTGAATCCTCCAGGTCAAAATGTAAATAAATTGATTAAAACTGTGAAATGTTCATTAATTACATGGTTGGTGACTCCTCCTCCTTAATGTTTAGTTCTTGTACTAGAAATCTTCTGTCCATGGGCTCCTTGGGTTGACCTGATTCTGTTATTCATCAAGACAGCAAAATATTAGAAAAATATAATGGCTTGTTACTGAAACACAGCTCAGGTTGAAATATAAAGCTAATATAACAGATTTACATAGGAGATCAGATGTGGTGGCCTTACAGTTAGTGCATTCATGACTTTGGTCAGGAGGTTTGCATTTGAGACCTAAACAAGTCATTGTGTTGTGTTCTTTGGCAAAACTTTCGGGGCAGCCTACTGAAATGCTGGAGGGAGGTGGAGGCATAGTAATGGGTTGGTATCTCATCCAGGTGGAGTATCAATACTTCTACTATAGTTGCTTCTTGCTACATAAAGCAGGGCAATGTACAATACCTGCTTGGAGCACTGACTCTGTGTATTTGTATTTGTTGAAAGTCAAGTATTCCCTTATCAGTTCATTGATCAACAGGTTCTCATTGGATAGGGCAGGTCTTGGTTCAGTCTGAAAATCAAAAATTGAAAGTTCAAAGTAGTTTTTAACCCCTACTGAACTTAATGTAAGCTATCGCTATGTTTCGTTCCGTTATGAAAAAATATAGTTGAATAAGCGTATTGCAGGACCTGAAGAATCGATGAAAATTATTCAATGATCGGAAATCAATCGATCAATCGATAGCAAACGATTACAGTTAGTTAAATGGCATCGGTCAATCGATAACGTAACGATATTCACACAAAAGTATTCGTGAACTTCAGCACTGGTCATCGATAAGCGTTCAAGATAAATCCCTCTATCAGATCTTGTGAGTGTACGCAAAGCCAATACTGCAATAGTATTTTTATGTTTAGTGGCAATACTCGAGGAGAAAATTGTATATCGTTATGGTTCCCCCAACAAAAATACTGTGTAGGACAAGTGCGGGTAAACATGTACAGCTGTGGCATATATGAAAACGTCAACCCGCAAACAAGCATCAGTTCAAAATGAATTATACACACGAACACACGCAAAGTTGTATGTCTTCATCTATGAACAGTTTGAGAGCAGCTAAAGATATAGAACAGTGAAAATGAACACGGAAGCACGTAAGCTTCCAGGTCAACTAACTTGATCGTCAAGGGCGCTAAACACCTCAGCACGAACTCGAGCTCGAATTTGACCAAGTACACCTCTATTTTCCAATGTTTCTTTTAACACTGAAAGAAGTAATAGATATATCAAGACATATGCCGTTATCTGATAACTAAGTAAGTTACATGGAATGAGATCCTGACTAAAACGTACCACTTTTGAGCTCGTTTACTGTCGCCATTTTGAAAATGGCGGTTGTGCAGTCGTTTGCATTTCAGATGAGTACCTGCGGGCTCATAACTAGCAATCTGTCGAGCAGATTTAGATGCAGGAGGGGTGAGAGAGTTCGAAATTCCATAGCGCAGCAATCCTTATTTTGATCCGCTACAATGCTTTATGTTATTTATTTAGCTCCAAAGTATATAGAAGAACGATTAAGGAGCTGCTTTATTCCGTTTTTAATCAATGATTTACCCGAAAGAAATGAGTTTATATTTGATACTAACCCTACCCTGTAGCTCAAATAGATTGGTCAAAATTGTCTCACAAATGTGCTTGTTTTCATAGTATACTGAACGTTCAGCGCCATGAATCCTATAGCGGTGGATCCGAACAATCCCGGGAGAATTTCTCTGGCTTATCGAGACCTCACTGAACTGCCTATAGATTGGGATGGAAAATTTGACGACATAACTGTTCTGGATTTAAGCCATAATAATTTGACGTATCCTTTGTAATGTTTGCATTTGAGGGTTTAATCCCGAAGGTAGATAACGGAGTTGTTTACTTCAGTGAAAGCTCTTAGTCATAAATATTTTTAAATACCGCGGAACATTGCTTGTGATAACACATAGAGCGTAAAGTTATGGTATTCTTTAAAAAGTAAAATGGGGATTTGCCATTTCAGTTTCATTCAAATGAAACTGAAACGTCTTTCCATAGAGAGGAACAGTTGAATTTTATCGTTTTGGTAACATGCACTCATGGTATATCTTCTTGATCTCTCGTCTGCCATGTAAGAATTATTTCTGTAAAAGCAAGAGAATTATGGTGTTATGGAAAGTAACAGGATAGGTTGATATTCTTCACGTTGGGTTGAAACTAGCTTAAGCCATCAAAATTCAGCCAGTTAGGAAATTCTATTTACTAAAGGATTCACTCATTCAGATGCCTAATTAACCCCTCAACTCGCAAAAGTGGTTAACATATAACTTCTCCCTAGATTATCCTTACATTACCCGGCAAACAGCTAGTGAGAATACGCAAGCTTATGAGGTAGAAGTTGTCATCTTGATCTAACACCAAATTCTTGTAACTAATTCACAAGGAAATGTGTAGCAGCTAGAGTGAAGAAGTAACAATCAGATCTTGGAAGTTAAGGGTTATATAATTAATATCTTAGTGATAGCTAGACACCTTGAGTGGAGGAGAATGTTAAAACTTAAGATGCTCTGGGATTAATGCTAAGATCATAAGGTTGGAGTCAAAATTTTTTCCTTGACCAAAACAAGCGACTTTCAATTTTTACAGGATTTCCCGTATCTCAACACATTAATTCTGGACAATAATAACCTAACAAATCATGTGAAATTTCCACGCATGAAGTCACTTCACACACTGTGGGTAAACCAGAATAGAATTACAAATCTGAGTTCTTTTATTGAGACTGTAGCAAAATGCTTCCCGAATTTGAAGTACTTTAGCATGATGAACAATGAGGCTGCCCCAAGTTATTTTAATGGAGGAACCTACCAGCAGTACAAGGATTACAGGTATGGAGCTTGTTAGTCTGATCTGGATGAGCTAATGTTTAGGTTCAATAACCTGACAAGCCTTAACATAACATAGTGCCTAAAATTAGGAGTGGTGGTACTCTTCACCATAATGGCTACACACCCCCTAGAAGAAGTTTGACAAGTTCCTAAAAGTTTGGAGGTACCCATTCACACTTCTTGTGGAAGAAACTGTGGGTGTTCAATTTCTTTTAAAAGACAATTACAGGTTGAGTAAAGTTCAAACTGGGACTTCTTTATCTTGAGTTTACTTGCTTGTCTAAATGGGAATTAATAAATGGGAATTTAGCAATGGACATTCCACTGGGTGGCTTTTTTCGTCTACTGTTTCCAGTCAAATTGGAATAAATGGAGTGTTGGTTTTTGTGGAGGGAGAAAAAAACAGAGGACTTGGAGAAAAAGCTTTGGAGCATTGACATAAGAACCAATAACAAACTCTACTCCTATATGACGCCAGGTTTAGGAGGCAAGTGCTCTCAGCACTGCGCCATGCCTTCTCCTCTCCATATTGGGGAATATATATATATATATATATGTTCCTTCCACAGCAATCAGTTAAGCAGGGGATTAAAAAAGGCCCAATGTGTTCTAACCATGATTATGCTTTCAGATGTTATGTTATAAGTCATCTTCCAAGTTTACTGGTTCTTGATGACCATGCCATTGATGCGGATGAGAGAGAAGAGGCTCGTAAAGTATATGGCAATAGAAGAGTTTCTGTAAGCTCAAAGAAAGTTAGTAAAAAACACAAAGAAAAGGTAAGTAATTTAGCAATATCTCCTTGCTTACAAATGACTGTATTTCCCCTGTTTACAAGGAAGTAGGGGTTTTCTTCAAGTTTTTACCCTTTCAGTGGCAGGAACAAAATCTCAGTTCTCTGCCCTGTCAGCCACACATTTAAAATGATCTTTGCCTTGTGAATTTGTAGTCAAATCAAACAATATCCCTTCAGTGGTATTTTATCTTACTTCTTGTCTGTTCTGCTCAAAAATGCATTGAGATAGTTTAAAGATAATCATGTTTGGTTACTCTTGAGAATGAAAGGGTCGAAGCAGGTGGATAAAGTAAGGAGATGGTGCTGTTCAGTTCGAAAGTTAATGTGTACATAGAATTTACAACAAAATTCAAAAGCAACTGAGCAATTATGCTAAAACCATTATTCACTTCAGCCTCAGTGAATATTGTTGACTAGTCCCCTTGACTTTTTCTCTGGGATTTAATTTAACAATATTCACATTGTCTATGGTGAGTAATTAATAGATAACACCAAATTCCCTTGTCTTATTTACAAAGAACTGTATGGCCAGCAGTAGGGAGAAACACTAATTGGATCTTGGGATTTAAAGGGTTAAGGAATCATGAAACAATAATTTATAGAATGCTAATGTGTACTTATGATTTTGTCTTCTCTTCCAGAAAAAGAAAGATGTGGAATAACATTTGCATTTGGCTTGATTATTATTTCAAGAACAGCTTAAAGTAATTTACCTGCTTTCTTATACAATGTTCGATTGGAGTGTATGGCTTATGAGATGTGGGTAAAAAAATTTCTGCACCAAATCAATGGATAGGAACTGGAATGTCCTAATAAACTGTTTTTTTTGATTGAAGGAAAAAAATAGAGTAAATGCAATTTTTTTGTTAAATTTTCATACTGACTATTTCCAAAGGAAATCTGTATTTTATGGACAAATGTATTTATCGCAGCTAAGGATAGAAAAGATATATGATAGAGAAAACATATTAGAGTAGTAGCCATATAAATAAAATCTACTGTTTATTGAAGGTTTTCTGGGTTCTATGGGGAAGGGTTTTTTAGTGGCCCAGAGTAAAACAAGATTGCAAAATGCATTACAATATATATGTGCTATTTTTTGGTTGATGGCTTCAGTATTCCAACAATACATAGTGACACAAATAACATAATATGATTTGCAGGAGCAGATTTTTAATTTCTGGGGGGGAGGGGGGGAAGGACCATGAAACCTCATTTTGCAATCAAGCACCTTGAAATAAAATTGGCCAAGTCTGTTTACTCAAGCCAAAAAGTGTGGTGAAAAATTCTCCCTTGATTTTGTAATTAGAACCTCCTGGAATGGAAGGGTGTTGTGTTGTCATTGTATTTTTTGTTGTCTTTTGCTTCCTAGTCTCTTGAATATTTTTTATTTCCTTATCTTTCCTATATTTTAATGTTACTCTTTGTGAAGAGAGAACACAAAACACAAAAGAACCATGATGAATTGTATTGAAATAAATCCTTGTGAAAAAAAAATTTGAGAAAAGTTATAGAAAATTTTACCATTACTCATGAAAGACCAGGTCAGACCCATTTAGATAGTCTCCACCTGAAACTTACATCCAGTTTCCTGCACCACATGTAAAATTGTAAAATGTTTTGTAATGTAAATACACTTCGTATCAGCTCACAACTTGGTATTGGTTTGTGGCAAATTTAATCCTTTTGGTAGTATCAATACAAGAGACATTAAGGAAAGTTTCCCATTTTATCCCCTTCTGGGAACAGAATACCTATTTCTGCAGTTGCTGGTTACTGCTGAGTGTCCTTTCTCTCTTGACACCCCTAACCTACCCCTGCTAAACTTTGAAAGAGTAATCCACCCAACAAAGTGACTGGGATTTAAAATCACATGCTCAAGATTGTAAGTCCTTGATTGACTAGAGGCCAGCAGGAATTTATATTATGGAAACTACCTAAACATGGAAAAGAAGATACAATTAAAGCACATCAAATTCTGTCATAAAAGTTCCTTTATTCTCAGTTTCATGTTTAAATTAATATATAGTTTAGGACACAAACCAGTGACAGAAAGACTGGCTTATTTATTCATTATTTATTCAATTTATTTATTCAAGGTAAGTAAACACTTGCTTCAGTTTCACCCAGCTCCAACCACTGTGGTTCAGAGAAGCTACGCTTTATTCAACATTATTCTAATTGCCTTGGAGAGTTGTCTTCACTTGGAAAATAAGGCCTAGAAATAAGTTATCCGATATGAAAGTTCACAACTTGGGTAATCTTAAAACCTTGATAAAGTGACTTGCCAGGGTTCCAAACCGTCGAAAAAAGGTGAGGAAAAAAGGAAAACACCGAAACCAAAAAAGAATGCCAGTTTAGGATGGGAAATACATAAACTGCATGCAAATGAGAAACTTTATTTATTGAAAAGACCACATCGTAACGAAGGCTCGGGTGAAAAAAAGGAAAAAGGAAAAAAAGAGTACAGTGAAAGTGTGGTTACGCACAGGCGTCAAACGGACTTGTCCTGAGAAAGCTTAGTTTGAAATGTTTGGGTTCTTATTGATTTACTTTAACATAGACAGGCAGTAATGTTATTCCGTGGGTGATTACACATTGTAGTTCTCTATACAGAATATTTGTATTCTGTCCCATCAGCCATAAGCAGAATAACATTTTTATGATTAATCCAAACAAGTCGTATGAGTTTTAGCAGAGCAGGAGACATTTTTGGAGACGGAGAGACTGTGGTGTAGGAACGAACACATCGGAGAGATGATCCCAGCATACCGAACAATGACGAGCCAGTCTACAGAATATAAAGACAACGCACATGTTTGACAATACGTCTTGGCAAAAGTGTTCAAAAATAAAAAAGATAGTTGCGTATTGCCTAACCCTCCAAGGATTTGTCAATAGTACCATTGGGGCAGACATAAAACGTCGCATATTAGTCAAAACATTTCAACATTATTCAAATATTTTTTAGGGGGCGGGGGAAAGAATTGTAGGACTTCCTAAAGTACGGTAGGGTAAAAAACCAAACAAGGCCTGGTAATAATCGAAAACTGGATACTTTGAAGAATTCTAAATTGTATAAAGGATTGTCGGGAAAAAAAAAGGATTATTAATCGTGAACCTGACTGTTAATTTAGATTAGGGTGTAATTTGTTCAACATAAAACAAATTTCTGATTTTGAAGGGCACCTTCAAATCACCACTTGACCAAAGGCGATCGAATAAAATTAGGCATGACAAATCTCTCTCTCTCTTTCGCACGCTCTATCTCTTTCATTAAATCTGAAATTACCTGCCAGAAACAAATTTTGGAGTCTCCGAAGCTGTATGAAGCAAGTACGCGATCGTCAGGCGAAAAAGACAGGGCTGTTACTTGAGAAGAATGAGCTGAAACCATCTGTAAACAAGGATTATAAAGTAACCGATTCTGAAAAGATTCTAGGACCTCTAACGATGGGATTATTGCGCGCTATCAAAGGAGAGAAGAACTTTCAACAAAGGTTGTTTGGGGTATAGACAACAACAATCATTGTTAGCTATTTACGGTCGCTCTCCCAATGATCGAAGATAGTACACCGAAAAATAACGTGATAAATTTGAGGAGAAAACTTGAACTGAATCGCTCCTGAAGCTTTTCATTTCAGAAACACAATCAGGCCTCAAACATGAAGGTAACAGTTACTTCCTGCAAATGCATCAAGAGTGTCTTTGCTACTTGAAACTGGAATTTAGCATTTGGCAAAACTATTTGAAAGAAAGTGAAGGATGACTGAAAGTTCTAAACAAAGTCGTGGTCCTCATGTGAAATATCAAAAGAATAAAACAACACACGACTAAATTCGTCGTAAACTTGCCTGACAGCGCGACGACCGCAGATCATACAAAGCTAACTGACCATTCTTCGCTCCAACTGCAAGGCGGCGGGACTGGGGTGAGTAACTCACCATGTTGAACCTGTCAAAGTGGAATAGCATCTATTTTTTATAAATTGCTATATTTCATAATTAAGTAAATCAGGCTTTCTGGCCGCGACAGCATGTTTAAAAACAATCAAATGTTCATTCAAAGCGAGGCCAACAAGGCCTATTTGTATGCAAAAGAATAGAAGTCATGCCCACCGTTGTGAAAGTGGTCTACACATTCATTACCGTAGAGAACGACGACCCCAATACAAACAAAGGCTAGTCCAAGCCGTTGCCAAAAGCGCGAAGGGTGCGATCGAGTAAAAATCAGTTGTAGATCAAGCCTAGGACTCGTTTAATTATGATCTAGAGAACACGTTCTCTTGTTGCAATACTGGATTATCATTACGTCAAACAGAACAAGAAAATGAAAAAGAAAAAAAAACACATGAATTGCTCGTGATACGTGACACGTGACTCTGTTCAGAGAGAAACTGGTACATAAAGCGCGATAATGCTCGAACATAGACTTATGCGACAGTATTTACAGTAAACGTACCGACATAGTCCAGGGAATAATTCAGTCATTCCTTTCTCTTTGAGTTGTCTCTGATCCAAACAGTAAACAACAATGTCGACAACCTGGGGGAAAATGGCAGAGTTAAGTGTATGAGTTTTCGTCATTGTTACCGCGCAACAACTGGCAATGAATCAACGAACACAAACGCAGATACCTCTCTCGTCCCAATTTCCGAAAACTTCCAAAACAACGAGAAAGCCTAGTGAAAGGCCCGCTCAAAAGAAACCAAATGGTTGGTGATAAAGTGTCTCGGACTGAGTGAGACGTAAACATGGTAATTTGAGAAACAAGAGTAAATTAGTGGAATGAAAAGCGTTCGTTGATACCATAAGGATTAGGAGTGCCGATTTGAAAGATAAATTTTTGTTTCAGAGTTTTGCCGTCTAGATGCCTAGATGAAGGGAAAGGCCGCAAACTACCATTAGTGCACTGCATCTGTTAAACAGATAAACCCCGTGAAACCTTCTGAAAAAAACTTATATGTATAGTTATACGTGAAAATAGAAAGGTAGTTCATACATCTGTTAAAAGATCTACAACTTCTTGTTGTGTCTTTTCAACCATGAGGTCAATTATCCGCAGTATCTCGTGCTTAGCTCTGTTCAATATGGACGTGCTCTGAGCCTCTGCATTCTGAGAGGGTTGGTGACGAACATGGCTGTACACCGCAATGGCTGCTGGAGAAGGTTGATTAAAGGAGATAGAAGAAGCCGCTGAAACACTGCGAGCCACCTAGATGTTCAATGGAGACACGTTTCAATTAATTACATTATAAATGGCAAACTCTGAACACGGTTTATGCGAGTGCTGACTACCTGTTACATCACAAACGACAACTTTGCACTACGTGAAAACCTTTGCAATTCAGTTGAGGTTCTTGTTCAGACGGCACCTCTGCTTTGTTACACGTTTTAACTTTGCGATGATCTGACAAATTATTTTACTTATGTTTTAGCGACAGCGAAAATGAATTCACCTCCTTCGCAATGGTCGCTATGAAGACCGCAGGTCGTGCTGTAGCAATCAGTGACAGCCCATGCCTCGCTGATCGATGAGTATCTGCTGACGGCGACAATGGTAAACCTTTCCTGAATGTGAGATCTCGGTTCTTGCTGTCCGCCGAGAGTTCTAACAACGCTATCAAGACAGCTGA